TCATTAAAAGGAAGAGATAAGGTGTCATCATGAAAGGGTCTCAAAAGTCTCATGTCATTAATTTAGGCTTCTTGAACAAGCTTCATTCTTGGTCATTCATCTCCCAACTTAGGCTTCAAGTTTTGACTTCTCTAGAATCTTCCAAGTCCAAGCTTGCTTCTCTCTCTCGGTTTCCCCCTGGGTTGACCTCCAATCAAAGCATAACATGTCTCGTTTGAAAGCTCAGAACGTGTACTTTAAATCACCAGAAGACATCAAGTCAAAATTCCAACGTTCTCGTATAGAAAATGCTGAATCTTTAAAATCTTACAAAACCGGGCTGTTTTGCACTGTTCACGAAATCGGACTTGAAAACATAATAAATGGACTCTGAAAATTCTGAAATTTGAATATGTCGTAAACAAGGGCTTAGAAAACATTTTTCATGAAGAGCACGAAATCTCAATCTCACCGTAAACACCATTTTTAGTAGCTCAAAGACAGACTAAAAACAGTTCACTGGAACAGAATTCTTGTTTCGCAAAGTAAGCTCTGTCCAGAATCCAAATCATCTCGAAAAATTCCCAAATTTATTTAGGTTGGAGAAAAGGAAGTTCTCAACAACTTTTGTGAAGGAAACTTTTCCAAAATCATCCCAGAAAAGCTTGTACAAAATAAAGAAAGGGTGAACATCACCGAAATACCCATTCTGGGCAGTTTTACACGGTCCGAAAATCAGGCCATCATACCACTCATATCAACTCCAAAAATTCTAAAATTAAAGTATGTAAAAATTCAAGACGTTTGGAGAAACTTTGAAGAAGAAAGTGTTTGGAAATTCGGATCACAAATGTCTTCCCAAAAATAACAAAATGAAGGGGTACAAAGGATCCGAAATTGGGTTTTCCAAAACACGAGTAAAAATTGGTTCCAATTGAAAAACTACCAAACTTAAACCATAGCCATTTCCCAGGGACTGAAATTGAGGATGTTACAACTCTCCCCCTCTAAAAGAATGTCGTCCTCGAAATTTAAAACGTACCTGGGATTTAACTTACCTTAGTACCTTTACGGCGTTCATTGTAATTTGGACTAGCTCTGGACCAACGACCTTTCTTTCCCCAGCCTCGCTCCGACATACTAGAGTGCAGCAAGCTTGACCACGCTTCCGCTGCGCTACTCTGATAAAATCTTCCTCAAACATAGTTTACTTACTTATAACAATCACGAAGATCACACTTATCATTTCAAGTAACAATTCCCGTCTTACTTTCAATTCAGTACCTAGTTCGGTTTATTCCTTTTCTTACCAGCCATCCTAGAAGCCTGCCAGGAGTCGCACCTTGTTCAGGTCTTTAATCACTCTTGCTAGAAGCCGCACCTTGATCAGGCTTCTTGCCCCGGCGTCTACTTCCTAGCCAAGAGCCTCTCCTTGATCAGGTTCTACCCCGGCGATCACTCCCCGGCCTCATCGGATCGGGTTATGTCAAAATTCAACAGCCTTCTCTTGGCTCAACACCGAACTGCAACTTACTAGAGGGGAACCTTCTTTCGAGGTCGTGGCATCCTGATGGGACTTTCCTTTTTCCTCAGCGGTCGCAGCCTGGTCCTGAGCACTTATTTTGCTATCAATAGTCTAACAAGACTTTCTACAACACAAGAATAGCTCAGTGATCACAAACAAACAAGAGCACTTAACATATTCAACCACAATCAATCATTCACACGCATAAGGGTGTTTCCTAGCTAACTACCCCAACTTCAGCGCGCCTTATCACTCCAGGTCTTTATTCCCACTTTGATTTCAGAATCGTTTTTCCCAATTCGGTGCACAGTTCGGTCATTCTTGCCCTTAGCCATCCTAGAAGCCTGCCAGGAGCCGCTCAATGATCAGGCCCTTCACCCTGGCGGCACTTCTGCCCAGAGTCCGCTTAGTGATCAGGCCTCTTACCCTGGCGCCACCTCTGTCAGAAGCCACTCAATGATCAGGTCGTTTGGCCCCGGCGCCACTCCCCGCCTTCGTCGGACTGGCCAATTTTAAGCTGCCCCGAACTGCACCTACTGGAGGGAAAACCTGCTCTAATACCAAATTAGACTGTAACGCCCCCACCTCAGGATCATTAATGTGACGTCCCGTTCATTGTTATCTTTCTTTACACACAGGCGGAAGCATAATTTCGGGACAATCACATTCAATTCACACAGCGGAAATAAGACAAGAAGCATCATGAGCAAACCTTATGTTTACAATGCATGCAAACATGTTTTAATAAGCCCTTCGGGCCATGGCAAATAACACATATTTCACACGTACTAAGAGTAGCAAAACTCGGCTTGGGTTGTCCTATACCCACTACGGCTTCTCGCTCATCGCTTCTTCACCTCCACCCCGGTCCCGTCCGCCTGGCCATCTCACATCCCACCCGTGGCTTTATCCCGGAGCCGACCTGCCCGCACCGCCAAAGCACTGTTGAACCCACATAGGGATCCAACCCATTCTCCTTTCGCATAGCGATACCACGCCACGTACGGATGAGGCACCAAGTCCATTAAGCCCTCATCGAATCATCACAAGCGTCGTGATTCGGCGATAGGCGCGGTCTTCTCTGTCATTTATCACGGTGAGCACTTCGGCTCTCATCTCCACGGGATTGCCAACGCGGGCTGGGGGAGATGCCATCCTACGGACCTGAAAAAGGGAAACAACGGGGGATGAGTCGGGGAGACTCAGCAAGTGAAAATACTAATATCAAGTGAGGATATATCGATCGCCATTAACATAAGTCGGCCCTTACCGCACCCGCATCGATGGCCGATCAATAGCAAAGTTCATACACGAAAACATCAAGCATGGCTATAACATGTGCACATTGCCATTCAAGTCTCGGTTCTTTCTCCAAAACAACAACAAATATGAGACATGATCAAACTAAGAAAATGAACCAACTACGACCAATCAAATGACCGAGAAACGGTCCAACCAAACCACGTCACAACGCATCTCAACATCCCTTCCCGATATTAGGGAATTCACTTACTCAATGATTTCAAACAAGAACTAGAGAAACGGGTGACGTGTGAAGAACACAAGAACTTCGGTGACTCTCGAGCGATTCTTGGCGTGTTGCTTGAGCACGTGGAAGGTGGAGAATTGTAACATCCTCAATTTCAGTCCCTGGAAAATGGCTATGGTTTTAGTTTGGTAGTTTTTCAATTGGAACCAATTTTTACTCGTGTTTTGGAAAACCCAATTTCGGTTCCTTTGTACCCCTTCATTTTTTTATTTTTGGGGAGACTTTTGTGATCCGAATTTCCAAACACTTTCTTCTTCAAAGTTTCTCCAAACATCTTGAAGTTTTACATACTTTGATTTTATAATTTTTGGAGTTGATATGAGTGGTATGATGGCCTGATTTTCGGACCATGTAAAACTGCCCAGAATGGGTATTTCGGTGATGTTCACCCTTTCTTTATTTTGTACAAGCTTTTCTGGGATGATTTTGGAAAAGTTTCCTTCACAAAAGTTGTTGAGAACTTCCTTTTCTCTAACGTAAATAAATTTTGGAATTTTTTCAAGATGATTTGGATTCTGGACAGAGCTTACTTTGAGAAACAAGAATTCTATTCCAGTGAACTGTTTTTAGTCTGTCTTTGAGCTACTAAAAATGGTGTTTACGGTGAGATTGAGATTTCGTGCTCTTCATGAAAAATGTTTTCTAAGCCCTTGTTTACGACATATTCAAATTTCAGAATTTTCAGAGTCCATTTATTATGTTTTCAAGTCCGATTTCCTGAACAGTGCAAAACAGCCCGGTTTTGTAAGATTTTAAAGATTCAGCATTTTCTATACGAGAACGTTGGAATTTTGACTTGATGTCTGCTGGTGATTTAAAGTACACGTTCTGAGCTTTCAAACGAGACATGTTATGCTTTGATTGGAGGTCAACCCAGGGGGAAACCGAGAGAGAGAAGCAAGCTTGGACTTGGAAGATTCTAGAGAAGTCAAAACTTGAAGCCTAAGTTGGGAGATGAATGACCAAGAATGAAGCTTGTTCAAGAAGCCTAAATTAATGACATGAGACTGTTGAGACCCTTTCATGATGACACCTTATCTCTTCCTTTTAATGACTCAAGTAAGAGCCACAGAAATAGGGAGAGAGAGAGAGGGGAGTCGGCTAAGAAGAGAGTCGGCCGAGAGAGTTGCCGAGAGAGAAAGAGAGGAAGAGATAAGGATCATTAATGGCTTGTATTAATTGAAGTTAGACTTTGGGGCACATCATCATGACAAGCCTTAAATGATTTTTGACGTTAGGGACCCCTCCATCATGACACACATTAATGGCCATAAGACTTTAGGGACCCATGTGAAAATGACATTTTTGTCTCTCTTGACCTTGGCTTGCTATATGTTAAACTTCAAGATATTTGGAACAACTTTGAAGAAGAAAATTTCAGGAAATTCGGTCCACAAAGTTTTCCACAAAAATAACAAAACGAAGAGGTATAAAGGATCCGAATCTGGGTTTTTCCATAACAAGATCAAGAATTGAGTCCAAATGAGAAAACCACCAAATTTGGTTTAATAAAACTCAATTCTAGCAAAATCATGGGTAAGATTGGAGGGCTTAGAAATGAGTCTCATCCCTTTGCTTAGTTCTAATGGCACTTCCTTCTTCGGATCCCAAATTTCACTAAATTTGGTTTGGCAAAGAACTAAGGTAATCAAGATTTTAGGTGCCTTGAACGATTGACCATACTAGCCTGATCTATAACCGACCCTCGGATCAGTCCATACACTATTTCCATGGCCAATTCCTAGGGACTAAAATTGAGGATGTTACAAAAAACTACTCGGAGGTTGTGGATGTGATTTCGAGGAAGCCAACAAAGTTTCTTTATCAGTTTGTGCAATAATTGAGTCCACTGGGACCATTAGTGATCTATACTATTCTCTACCTTTGTTATCCATTTGCCCGCCAATCGGAATAACCCCGTGATTTGCTTTCTTCAGAAAAAATAAGTCCATGTGGTTACACCTATTAGATATCTTAGTCCATCATTTTCCAAATTTCTAATATTATTTTTTTATTGACTTTGCCCTAAAAAAGCCATACACCTCTGTCCTCTAGTATAAGAATAAATCAACAAGAAGATCAAATGGTGAATGAACTACCTGAAAACACACTACCAAATCTTAAGCTAATACTCTTTGCTGATGGTTGAACTCCATCATCTAATGGCTTCTTCATCAAAACCTGAAAGGATTTACCATGTGTTCTTAAGTTTCAGAGGTGAGGACATTCGGAACAACTTTCTTGGTCATCTCTACGAAGTTCTTAACCAAAAAGGAATCTACACTTATGTTGATAGCGAGGAGCTCAGGAAAGGAGTGCAAATAGTGCCAGCACTTATGAAGGCAATCGATGAATCACAGATCGCATTAATTGTTTTCTCTAAGGATTTCCCTTCCTCATGGTGGTGTTTGGAAGAGGTGGCGAGAATCATGGACTGCAAGAAAGAAAGAGCTCTCTTGGTCTTTCCCTTGTTTTACAAAGTGGAACCTAGAGAAGTGAAAACACCAAGAGAGAGGTATAGAGAAGCTATGATTAAGCATGAGTCCAAGTTCGGGAAGGATTCAAAGGAAGTGAAGAGATGGGAGAAAGCTCTTTCCGATGCTGCTAACTTGTCCGGGTGGCATTTGAAAGATGGGTAAGTAGAGTGGAGTTCATATTTTGTGTAAGAAGCCAATTTTTACAAGTACAAAGATTGTTTGTAAAAAATCTGCACACACATGATTGTAAGTACATGTATAGATGCTTCATCTTTTGGTTTCTGAAAATTCTTTAGTGGCTTAAGTTAAATTTAGTAATCTCATATAAGAGTTGGTAAATCTAAGATTTAGTTAAAAAAGAAAAATGAAATTTGGAAAAATTGAAGAAAATTTGATAATTAAAAGAAAATTAAGCTTGGCAAGTTTTTTGATTAAGTGTATAAATAAATCACATATAATAGTTCAACAAAAAAAAAAGTAAATCATCATGCATAAATCAAAAGAACATGAATCACTTGGAAGACTAAAAGTTGAACCTGAACTTGTTTCGATTGTTGTGGAGCTCTTTTGAGTTCTAATTCGACTTGGTAGAAATACATTTTGTTTTGGCTATGGTTATGTAAAAATGTGATGCACTGCTTTTGTCATCGTTGGCTAGTAATTGCTTGTTATTTGCTTATTCAAATTGCTAAAATGATGCCACAACTTCTTCTTCTTCTTTTTTTCAGAGATGAGTCAGAGCTTATAAAAAGAATTGTGACGGAAATCTCCACTCACCTAGACCGAACACTTCTGCATGTTGCTACACATCCAGTTGGGATAGATTCCCGAGTGGTTAAGTTAAAATCGATGTTAAACCTTGAGTCTGATGATGATGTTCTCATGGTAGGATTGTGGGGACAGGGAGGCATAGGAAAGACGACTTTAGCCAAAGCTGTTTATAATGATATTTTCAATCAATTTGGGAATTCATGTTTTTTGGCGAATGTTCGAGAAGTTTCAAAAGATTGCAAGGATTTAGTAACTTTGCAAGAAAATTTACTATTTGAGATATTAGCACTGAAAGAAAGATTAGTAGTGTCCAATGTTGACAGAGGTATTAATCTAATACAAGAAAGACTTTGTCACAAAAAAGTTCTCCTCATCCTTGATGACGTGGATGACTTGCGCCAATTACATGCTTTAGTAGGAGAAGGTAAGTGGCTTCGTAACGGGAGCAGGATCATTGTTACTACAAGAGATAGCCATTTGCTAACTTATCTCGGGATAGATCAATATCATGTGTACGAGGTTAGAGAACTGGATGACAGTGAAGCTCGTGAGCTGTTTAGTAAGCATGCTTTTTCCACACACCGAAAATTAGAAATCAGGACAGATCTAGTGGATGGTTTTCTAAATTATACTAAAGGCCTTCCTTTAGCACTTGAGGTGCTAGGTTCCTTCTTATGCGGTAGAAGAGAATATGAATGGGAAAGTGCACTGGATGAAATTTCTACGGCTCCTAAAAAAGGCATCAATGATGTGCTCAAAATAAGTTATGATGGACTAGAGCCAAAAGCGAAAGAGATCTTTCTCCACATTGCCTGCTTCTTTAAGGGCTGGGATAGTGAGTATGTAAAGAAAGTTCTCGACAGTTGCGATCTTAAGGCAGTAATAGGATTACAAATTCTCATGGAGAGGTCCTTGATAAGAATTGAGTCCAAGAACATACAAATGCATGACTTGATTCAATTTATGGGTATGGATATTGTGAACCAAGAAAGCGATGATCCCGGGAAACGCAGCAGACTATGGTTGTATGATGATGTTGTCGATGTTCTGTCAAGTGACACAGTAAGACTTGCATATATGATCAGAATTATGCTCCTTATCTGTTTTACTCTAATTACTGAACTTGCATAACCCAAATAGTTTTGTTTATACAGGAAGATTGTGTTGTAAAAGCCATAGTGGTGGAGCCACCTGAGCCGACAGAAATATGTATCAGTCCTGATGCTTTTACAAAACTGAGAAGTTTGAGAATGCTCATTTTGCAAAATGTGCATAATTCTTTCCAAGGTCCTATATGGCTTCCTAATGAGCTAAGATGGTTTCGATGGGATAGATGTGCTCCTCGGATTCTAGAATTTTCTTCTGGTAGAAAGAAATTAGTGGGACTTGATATGAGCAATTGCAGTATCACAGTAGTGCCAAATCAATTTAAGGTGAGCATTTACCTACATTAGCCCTTTTGAATTCAATATATGAAATTTGTATTTTCTTTCCCATGTTTTTCAAAGTTGGTTTCATTGTCTTTGATAAACTTCAACAAATTTTAAATTTTATTGATTTTTGGGAAATTCTTTTGTGATAAAACATATATTCTTGACCTTCATCTATTATATATAGTTAGAGCCGAAATCCAACAAAGTGTTTACTCCTGTGCTCTCCACGTGACACTTCATTTTGCTTCTATCGTTGTCACATGACTTGACACGTGGCATCATTTTGTTACGTGGCCCACATCCATACTCGCCAAGTGGCACTTTCATGTGCTTCTATGATTGTCACATGGCATGACACGTGGCATAGTTTTGTCACATGCCCCACATTCGCATATTCGCCAAGTGACCCTTCACTTAGATTTTAGGATTGCCACATGCATGACACGTGGCACCGTTTTATCCTAAACTAATTTTCATCTACAAATAGAGAGTAGATTTGGGTGAGGAGTACTGGTATGGGATGTTTTATTAAACGAAAATTAGATTTTGATAAATGTGTCATAATTGTACCAGTGTAGGATTTTGTAAGACGAAAATTAATAAGGGATAAATCTGCATGTCGATTTGGGATTTTTAATTATACTTATTCTAATCTTCTAATAATTGTTACCCCAATTTTACTTGTGAACATTTTTTATATCGTGTGTCTATATATTATTCAATTCTTTCAAATAATATCTAAAATGTCAAATGATAAGAGTTAACTCTGAGTTACTAAAATGTACATATATATAAGTATGTTTGTATAATTACTGGTAGAGTTTCAAAGTGTTTAGTAATTTCTCAATGTGATATTTAATACTCACAAAATCAGTTTATAGTAACTTTGAATGAAAAGTTCATTAATACGTTCAGAAATTCACTCAGAAACTTGAATAGTAGGTTCTGTGTTGTCTGATCTACCGAAGCTCCTTGCTTCCTTCCACATGAAGAGTGTTGTGGCCTAAGGATATGTAATAAGGACATATTCAGTGTTCACCCGGTCAATATAGATTATATAATAGTCGATGATTTGTTATATCTTATCTATTGTTTGGTAAATTGCAGTAATAAAGCTGGATATTTTCACATATTTCTATATCCATTATTTGCTGTGAGCATTATGTCAGTGTAAATGAACATAAAAATTACACAAATGAAGATGATAAAAATTTCTCACGATACTCTTACCTATTTCATTTTTTTTATTATTTTCCCTCTCTTTTTTAATTATTTTCTTTTTTATTTCTTCCCCTTCCATCATTCTCTAATAAAATTTTATTAAATAGTAAACTATACAAATATGCCTAAAATATGTAATAAATATAAATATTAAATGTGTGTATATATATATATATATGAAATTTACATCATAAGATATAAAGAAATTTGAATATAAAAACGAAAATAAGAATAAATAAAAACGAATTTATTCTTATTTTTTTGTTATTTTGAATTTTTTATATTAAAATTCAAATATTATTTATATTCAAATACTATTTTAATTTTATTAATTTAACAAGTTTGTTATTCGAGAAAAATAACTTTTATGTTATGGATATTAGAAATCCTATCAACCTTTATTCCACCTCTCCCATGGGATAATTTTATCCGAGCTATATCCCTCATATGTCCGACTTTATCATATCCTGAACAGGCACCAAACATGAGATATGACAAATTTTATCATATTTTGAATTTTATCCCAGCTACCAAACGTAGCTTTAGGGTTATATACATATCGATACAGTAATGGAAAGTTGGATAGAATAGTGTGCTATGGCTATATCATGCGTCCCACAATCATTGGCTCCATTTTCCTCCATCAACATATATTTTGTTAAAGATAATATGAAAGGGTGTTAGTTAAATGTTCTCTAGGACTAGAACTTAAAAAATTCATTTCTATAGTTATACACAAACTTTGTCATTTACTATTTTTTTGTACCATTAACTATTAGCTAAAAACAAAATTCCTTGCCGAGTCTTGCATGCAAAAGAATGCACCTAGCTCACTCAATCAAAGTTCTATTCCTTTATTCTATGACACCATTCTGCTGTGGTGTCCGGGGCACTATGTGGTGTCCCAAAACCACTTCTCCCTTGCAAAAATTGGTAAAATCTTTTCTATAGAACTCCATGTCGTTATTGATCCTAAGGCACTAAATTTGTTTACTGAATGCTTCTCAATGAGTGCCTTAAACTTCTTGACCCGATTGAACACCTCAAATTTGTGCTTTAGGAAGTATATCCACACCTTTGTCAAATAATCATCGATGAATATCAACATATATCAAGCTCTTCCTTTCGAAGAAATCGGAGATGGGCCCTAGACTTCTAAATGAATATAACCAATCAGTTGCTTGGTCGAATGCATAGCTGTAGTGAATTTAACTCAGCTTTACTTCCTAAAGATGCATTACTCACACAAGTCTAGCTTCCTTATCTTCTGACCGTTGAGCAATCCACTCTAACTCAGCATCGTCATACTTGTCATATTCTTGTGCCCTAATGGCATATGCCATAACTTAGTCAAGTTTGAGTCTGACTCGCTTGACGAAACTGCAAAAGATCTGGTTATGGTCTCTCCCAGTAGATGATATAGAGAATTCACCTTCTTCCCCTTCATCACTGTCATGGCACATTGAGAGATCTTCAGCACTCCTTCTTCAGTCGTGTACTTACACCTAATGTTATTGAGTGTTTCAAGAGAAAATACGATTATCTTAAGCTCCGGTACATGCCTCACATCCATCAATATGTGCATTACCTATCGTGCATCCGAATTCGAAGTGTCCCTATCCAGACAATCTTGTAAGCTGCGTTATTCCCCATCATAACTCTATCATCATGTGCAGTTTATTAAGTAGTAAACCAGTTCCTATGAAGAATCATCTTATAAGAATACCCCAAATTCTAGCACTACACATCTCTTGATGAGTCGATAGTCACACTCAAGACAGTCTTTGCATTATTGGTGCTTTCCTCGACAACGTTCGCCACACTACACTACTTGAGGTATTTTGCCTGCTATGCCTAACCGCCGCATCGAGAATTCGGGAGGGGGACACTGCAAGGTGGGTAGTTTATCTGGGGAGGATGCCTTCAACTTTGAAGGGCACGACTCTTTCTATTTTTGCACTGGCATATCTCTGTTTCTTAGCTTTAGGCAATCTCTCCTCATGTGCCCCTCCTCATGACAGTCAAAGCACATCACGCAACCCTTAAACTTTTTATTGTGAGATTTTGATCTGGTTTTACCTCTGCATCTAGACTCCGATGTTGATCTCTACTTCGAATCACTAGTCCTCACGCCACCTCTTGAGCTAGATCCTCATCTTTCAACTTTCTCTACCACTCCTTAGAGAACAAGACAGATTCTACCTCTTTTGAGGTAACTGTAGTATGCCCCTGTAATACTGAGTTAGTAAAGTACTCTCATGACTCTGGTAGAGAAGCCAACAATATCATGCCTTATTTTTCATCATCTAAGGTCTCTTCAACGTTCTTCAAGTCCATTATGAGTTTGTTAAACACATCTAAATGGGATTTGATGGAAGTAACTTTAGTATAATAAACTTGAAACATCATCTTCAACATGTATAAGCGATATTTGAACCCTTCTTTACATAGAGTGCCTGAAGTTTTGCCCACAATGCTGGAGCATCCTTCTCTTCGGCCACCATTATTAATACCCCATTTGATAAAATCAATAGAATCATACTCCTCGCTCTCTCAATTAACTCACCTTTATCGGCATCTTTCATCATTTCTAGCAACTTAGCCTTGCCATCCAATGCCTTGGCCAAATCTTGGGTTGTTAATAGAGCATGCATCGTAACGCTCCACAACGCAAAGTTGTTCCTCCCGTTAAATTTCTCAAAATTTTTACTTTCACTCCACACATAACTGCAACAATAAAATTTCTAGACAACAATCAGACAAGCAAAAATCCCATATCAAATCCAAAAGATTTTAGCAATAGCTCTGATACCAATCTTGGTAAAATAATACAGAAACTAACGGATCTTGCAATTAAATCAACACAAAATGACTAGAGAAATAACAAGAAAACACGAAATATTTGTGTGGTTCGGTCTCAGTATTGGTACCTACTCCATGGAGAGAGCCAGCACCAAAAACTCCATTAATTAATCAGAGAATTTTAGAGTTACAATCGCTTACACACTCGAGCGCTTCCTAGTCCTAGATACACCTAAACCCATAGTGCTCACAAAGAAAAAAATAAATTTGGATGTAAAACTACATTGCATATATATCAGCGTGTGTTACCGCTCCTGTGCCCGGCCAAAGAAGAGCTTCCCCCTTGTTTCTCTTTTGTGCGGTTGCAGCTGAAGGGAGATCGAAATAGAACCCACACTTTATTTCTATCTCTGGAACCCACCTAGACTTTCTTCAGAGTATTCCTTTTTGTTTCCTCTTGTGCGGCCTTTTAAAGGAAAGTCAACCGGGCGGCAATCAGAGGAGTTCAACTCTTGATCTCATACCTTGGTTAGATATGAAGAAACCCTTGTCGGTTGACCGAACGTTGGTTCATATATCCAACAAAGAAAAACAAATTATAATACGAGATTATGATCCATAGAATGCAACACCATGTCAAAGTCCAACTTGGACTTTTCTTTTACGCCTCATGCAATACGAAGGTCCCCATCCTCCAATCAGGTCGGGTTCAATATATAGGCTCAAACTTGAGACATAATTATAAAGTATGTGAGATAAAAGAGAATAATCAATTTCACGTATCCGTCCATGAGTATAATATTTGTAAAATAAGTAATTGAGTATAATTAAAGGAAAGAATTAAAAAGAAAATTGAAATCCCTTAAAAGTAGGATGTCCTTTCTTTACTTTATATAATAATATAGATGAAGGTAAAATACTTTTTAAATCCAATGTCTCTAACAATCGACATAGTTATATTTCAAAATCAAATGAAATCTACCTAGTGAAGAATGCAAATGTGCTAGTGTAAGCTGCGTAACCTATTCTAATTGTGTTGGTTGTTTACACATAACCTTTTTTTTTTTTTACAGAAAATTTGTATAATGAGCAAATATAGAGGAAACAATAATATAAAGAATGAATTCGTTGATATTGTGTATAAAAGTGAAAACACCCAAGCAGTAGCTGGCTAAGTGGCTAAATGCTTGATTTGGATGTGGTAAATTAGATATCCTAGTCACGACATCTCCAACTGAAAGTAACCTTAAGAGGCCAGTTAGTTATCAAGTGATAGAGCCTTACCCAATGTACGTACCTAACAATGAGATTTGTCCTGCATCGATAGAATTAACTCTGTCAAAGGTTTGAATGCACTGTGCTGTAAAACAAGGCATTATTAATTACTTAAGTCAGTCCTTAAAGAGCAACATTTCTAAGCAAACATAATAAAATATTTATTAGAAGCTTTGCCAATAATGTTGTAATGCGTTTACAAATAATGGGATCTAGTGGTGGCATACGACTAGTTTCTTAATCAAAATTCAGAGCTAGATATTGAATTGTATATCTGAATTCTTTTTCTTCATAATTTTTTTCAAAGTTGGTTTCATTGTCTTTGCATGGTTTCAAAGAAATTTAAAATTTTATTTATTTTTTGAAAACTTTCATTGTGATAGAATATAGTCTTGACATTAAGCCATTATAAATAGTCTAAATTAGAATAAAAAAATGTTCACTCTGGTGCTCGCCACATGACAATAACTTTGCTTCTCTAATTGGCACATGGCATGACATGTCGCTTAATTTTGTCACGTGGCCCACATTCGCATGGTTGTCGTTTGGCACTTCATTTTACTTTTCTGAGGAGAAGGACATTAGAAGTGTCAAAAGTTGTGTACGGCACTCATTTTAGTGTTAAAAGTTTTCACCGAATCATTTAAGTGCAAAATCTAATAAAAAACGATCACTTAAGTGCATCCGGTGAGAAACTCCGACCAAAATAAGTACGTGGCATTTATAATTAAAATTTTTATATAAGTTAGAATTTTTATAAATAAAAAAATTGGTCCACATGGCATTTCCATGTGTACATTTCTCCTCCTCTCCCTCCATGTCATTTTTTCTTTTTTTCTTTTTTTCTTTTTTTTCTTCTCTTTTCTCCCTTCTGCACCCTTGTTGCTTCACACTGTGACTACTTGGCCATAGCTTCTCCGACGCTCACCCATCACCACCTAGACCTATGAGCTGCGCCCAAACCTCAACAAACGACGCCAAGCCACCTCCTTCTCACCAAGGGCGATTTTAAGGGAAACCAAGGCTTCTATGGCTGTCGCAAGGCCGTAAGAGGCGGTGAGGGGGTCATCACTGATAAAGTAGAGGGTGGAAGTGGGGTCAGGATCAAAGGAGGAGGAGGGAGCGGTGAAGGGCTTGGCGTAGGAGAAGCGGGTGTGGCGTGAGGTGGAGAGAGCAACAAAGGTGCGAGCAGTCGGGAACCACTCATGGGTCTAAAGGAGGATGTCAGATTCGTTGATAGGTTGGAGAGAGAGGGCAAGGAACGACATGGTTCAGATATGTGAGAAGAGTGCTGTTCAGTCGAGATCACTTGGTTTCATCTCATGTTGCAGAGCTCAGTCAAAGAAATGGAGGAGAGAGAGAGAGGGGAAGAGCAATCGCTCCGAACGAACCAGACTCGACGAAATATGAAAGACACTGGCGTGATATCAATTTAGAAAGCCATGAAATACATCCAGCAATCAATGAACGCCTAGATTGGACGGAAAACCAAGAACAAGTGCACAAACCTCACCCAGACATTTCATCGAACACCTAAGGTATAACGGCCGAGGGGACAACCAGAAAGCAATCGGGGCGCAAACTCAGACCATACTCAACCATAACCATAAAACAACACTAGGAATACACAGAGAAAGGTATGAGCAGGTTCGGAACGCGCGAGAATCAGGGCTGGTGAGCCCCAGTTCGCCGATTCGACAAAACAGGGGAAAAGAGAGGAGCTTGGGCGTACCTTGTGAAGGGAAAGTCGCCGGACGCGATTGCTGGGTAGATCGGAACAAAATGGCTCTAGAAACCGCCTCAAGGGACTTGGTTGGCGAAGGAGGCAACACCAACCGCGATTCGAACTCCTCACCATGCGTGGCTGAGAATGGATATGGCCGAGCCTTCGGTTTGCAGCCAGGTTCTTCAACGAATTAGCTCCGTTGACAGCATACTTTGAGGTGGTCTTGATGAATTGCCCAGACAAGAAGCCAGAGAGAATTTCCCTTTCGCTCTCTCACTATGCTCCCTTTTTCCCCCTTTGCATCCCCTTTCTGTCAGTCGTTCAGCAAGAAATTGATTTTTCTTGCTGAATGACGTCGTTTTGGGTCGTGCAGGCAGGTGAAACTTGTTGAACAACGTCGTTTCGGGTTTTTTTATGTTGATTTAGACGTCCAGCGAGCCATGTCAATGGAAAAAATATTAAATTATTATCATGTCGGATTTCCGGCATTCGAGATCAGAGTTGGCACTTAAGTGATCATTGTTTTTTATAAAGTGGCATTTAAATGATCCGAAAGAAACTTTTGGAATAAAAGTGAGTACCGTACACAACTTTTAGCACTTCTGGTGTCCTTCTACCACTTTTCTAATTGCCACATGGCATGACATGTGGCATAGTTTTACCACGTGGCCCGCATCCAACCAATATCCATTAGCTTTTTGATTTACCATCTCTATATTTCAATCCCTTACAATATATACATATAGATTTGTAATTACTAGTAAAGTTTCTAATTGTTTACTAATTTCTCAATACAATATGTAATTCTCGGAAAATCAATTTATAGTAACTTTTAATGAAATGTTGGTTTCGCTGTTTTTGCAGGACTTCCAACAATTGAAGTACATTAATTTCAGTAACTGTGAATCGTTGGTTCATATGACCGATCTTTCTTATACTCCAAATCTTGAGGAATTGGTTCTCTGTGATTGCACAAACTTGATAGAAGCCCCTGAGTCTATTGCTTATCACGACAAGTTACAATTGTTGAATTTAAGCGGGTGCAGAAAGGTTGACAGTTTCCCTGCTATTCCACGTAAACTCAAAGGCTTGAAAAGTCTTTGTTTACAAGGGACCACTATTAAAGAACTTCCTACCTCAATAGAAAATCTTGTCTCTTTGAAAATAATGATTTTAAGTAATTGCAAGAACTTGGCAAGTCTTCCTTCTAGTATTTACAAGTTACAAAACATTGAAATCTTGGAACTTGCGGCTTGCACAAATTTAACAAGATTTCCAGAGTGTGAGGATTCAGTTGATCCGTGCATGAAGACCGGACTTTCAAATTTAATCTTTTTAAATCTTGGGGCATGTAATTTGTCCGGAATAGAATTTCTCGAGAATCCTTCCTGTTTTCCCATCTTGCAACATTTAATTCTGTCAGAGAGCAATGTTACTAGACTTCCCACATCTATTCATAAGCGTAATCATTTATCCGTATTTGTAATTTCATATGCCCGTCAATTACAAGAGATACCCGAGCTTCCACCATTTTTGAAGCATATTTCGGCTAATAATGGAGATTCGTTTTCACCTTCTGTTCTTGTCCGTAGAGTGTTGACCGTGGCTGACATTCCCTCGCTGGACCAGGTTAGACTCTCTCTCTCTCTCTCTCTCTCTCTCTCTCTCTCTCTCTCTCTCTAAGGGAGTATATGGTGGATGTATTGTGTTCTTGTATATTGCAATAGTAGTAAATGCAAAGGCTCAAGAAAAGCAAACAAATATAAAGTGATTCTGCAATTTTGTGCATGTAATAAAGTTGGCTACCGTACTTTTACGGGAATGATTTCTATCACATGAAAGTTGTATGTTAATGCAAGCAAGGGTCACTGAATCTCTACTCATTTAGAGAGCTCTAGTTTGAAGTGGAATTCACTAGGATTAATCACTAAACTCAAAATGAATTCGTTTATTTTAGTACTACTAATAACAAACTTCACTACTTTATAACAGATGCCTCCTGATAACACAATTTGTCTCCCTGGAGGAGAGATGCCAAAGTGGGTCCTCCCTATTGAAGAGAGTTCCGTATCATTCATGGCTTCAAAGGACTTGTATGACAAGCTTCTTGGATTGACTCTTTGTGTCGTTTTCAATAATGATAGACAGACACAAAATCAAATATTTCAGATTTTACCACATGTGAATGGCGAAATGAGGGATTGCAAAGGAGGAATCTACTTAATGGCATTGAATTTGGATCAAATCTTGCTTTGGTATTTCACACCATATGATCTGTGGGGAGAAGTCGATTTTGGTCAAATTGATGGGAGTTATGTACACTTTAGCCTTACAGTATTGGCTACAAAGGCAAAAAAGTGGGGATGCCGAATAATATGCAAGTCACTTGATGACAATTTAAAGGTTGGGATTCAAAACAATCGGCTAATCAATCCAGCTTTACTCCACGAGGTTGTTCTTGAATCAACAGATCTAAAAGTTGAGGGTCCACTTATGCACAATGATAGTTTGATCGAAACAGAGCTACGGAAAAACTTGCAGGATTGCCAAAGGAGTAGTGAGGAACATAGTCAAATAGTATCAAAGGGAAATCCTAAGCTTATTCTCCCTCATGGCATGCGAACCAAGACTATGCCGACTTCCAATTCGACCAGCAGAGATGAGGATGGTAGTGTCGGCTTGCAGCTTTTGTTGTTAGAATGATCGAAACTTGCTAAGGAAGCAATTCGTAGGTAAGTGAACTCACTGATCTCGATTACAATGCATTCTTTCTTCTTGTTCTTCTCGTTTTCTTTTCTCAAAAAAACTTGTAACCCGCTCTTTGTACCCGCTTTTACCCAAATTTATTAACATTGAGGTACTTTATGTGTCCATTTTAATTAGCGTTTAACTTTGCTAGCTACAACAATGGAAATAATCAGCCCCATAGAGACCTCCACAAGGAGAGAGAAGGTCGCCCTACTTCTCGACTTAATATCGAGAAAATTAGTTCGACCAAGAAAGCATGCAAAGGTTGTGGCTGGAGAGTTACATGAGGAGGCTCGGGCGAATAATTTCATGTGTGTAGAGTACATTTTATCTATCTTTGTTTTTCATTTTTTTGACTTTTTCTTTACTTGCACCTTCGTTTCTTGCCACTTTCATTTCCGTGTATTTTTGTTTCAAAATTTATTTCCTTGCAATGTAATTTCAATTCCAATGCATCTACTTTTCTCTCCACGCTTATTAGTTTCACGTCGATTCAACCCCTCAATCCATGCCCCATTCATGCATTTTATACTCGAGTATGAAATCAAGGAACCGTCTCGGTCGCTCTCCCTTGCTCAACAACTATCATCATAAACAGATTTTGAACACATGACTTGTAAAAATTGTCGGAAGCCTTGATCACGTAGCTGCCCCATTATGTTATATTTCTAGAAACGACTTTTTGAAAATTATCAATGTCAAATTTTTCACGAAAGGAGCATATCAAAATTGTTTTTTTGTCTTTGTCGAAGTACCCTTCCATCCTTGTAGAAATATAATGTGTGTGTATATATATATATATATATATTTTTTTTTTTTTTTTTGTGGTAAAACAGGGAACCCCGCACGGCCGACAGCCGGGAGGTAAACCCTGGGGGCGACACGTGCTAGCCACCACACACGTGCACCGGTTAAGTCACCCTGCAGCGCCCGAGATTCGAACACCCAACCTTTTGCGAGAGGAAGAGTGCCTTTTCCAACGGCGCCACCCAGGCGGGTGGTAATATTTGATGATCGCTTGCTTCAAATAAACAATCACCTTTTTTTTCTTTTTTGCTCAAATCCCCTTTAATTAACCCAAGTTAGTTAACTTTATTCCCAAATGGAATTCTGTAATTCTTTCTTCAAACTCCATCGACCCCACTTTCCGCATCACCACTCCTCATCTTCCAATACGACGGCACCAGTGAGCTTTGACGCATGGAAGATCGCCACCTGCCAACGGAGGCGACCAACAGAAGAAGTTCGTCGACGACGGTTGACGGAGACCGGCCGGCGTAGGTGACGGACCACCACCGCCGAGAAGCCATGGAAACTGTTGACGTAGCTTCGGGTGAACGATTTTCTTCTGAGGTTCTGGGCTTTGTGCAGCTTGCTGTTGATCAGGTAATGCGTGACACATCTGAATCTTAATAAGTTGATGTGATACTTGAGCTGGATTTTGAATTCGACTCAGTTGGTGCTACAATTGCCCGGGAACTTGAAGAACGTGTCGTTGAATTTGTTCGAGAGACGCTGAATCGATGTTTCTTCGTAAGTTTTGTCTGTGGATTCATAGGTTGTCGACGTTCCACGCTGCAAAATCAGCGACAATCTCTGGAATGTGTAGATTTTTTTTGTTTTGTTTTCATCGGTGGCAATTTATAGAAAGAAGTAGATGAAGTCTAGGTTCAAAGAAAAAACAAGCAAGGGAGAGTGAAGTAATGGAAGGTAGGGTGTACATGGGTTGGTTCAGTCCCCTTCTCAGGCAAAATACTGAGCCAATCCGGGTGCTGTGGGTTGGGAGGGAGAGAGGAATGGATTTGGGAGCTTTTGAGGTGTCTAGGAAATGTGGATGTGTAGTATCTAGTATGTACTTATCATACAGATGTGCAGCGGGTGATAGGTTTGCCAGGAGAATTGAATTCGAAGAAACTTCTATCACTGGGATAGGGCTCTGTCTCTATGTTTTATGAAGAAGAGGTACAACCATAGAGGAATTAAGAAGATGCAATGAGATGGCAAGCCACCAGGAAAGGTTGCTTGATAGTCCAGTCCTTTAACCACTTCTTGACTTTGGCAACTAGGGAGAATTCAAAACCAAATTTACTTTGAGTGTGAGCGTAATATGAACATCGGTTGTGCCCACGGATAACTAGTTAGGTGGTTATTTTCTTTCGTCCTGTGGACTGTGGATATGAAAAATAAATAATCATGAGAAACACGGAGTTTACATAAGTTATTCAGTAGAATAGAGACAAAAGCACAAGATGCTGATGTCGATTCTGAATCATGAGGCCTTTGCAACAGTTTAAATTCTCTTTTTATCGTTATATGCCATAGCTTTTATGAAGGAAAATGACTGAGAAGCTAAAACTCGTGGAAGCTTCTTGAATGTTTGAGCGAAACCTATTTAATGAAAGATAAGCTTCTGAGGTACCAATGATAGGACACACTGGAATGAGCAACTTGCAGTTTCTCAAAAATTGTTTCCTGTTTCTGCTTTAGTGTGGTTAGAGCCATATCAGTTTAACAGTTAGGTGTGATTTACATATGAATTACAGGACGAATATGTTGCAATAATCATTGTTTAGAAGTTTGTGATCAGTATATTACACAGGACCTGCAGGATCCTGATTATATAGCTGTGAGACATGCATTCATTCCATTAGTAGTTGCATATTGATACTGAATATTTCTACTGCTGGACACTTGATGCTAATTTCCTCTTGAATAGCTTGAATACATGCATGCATTCTTGCGAATTTCTGACTCTTATACTCACAGTTTTTTCTTCTAACAAGTAACAAAACCTATTTGCTATTCTTATATAAGGCAAAGCTTGCTTTGGACAGCCTTAAAGTTCCAGTTGGGTAAAAAACTAATTTTCAGTAATCACGTGCATTTCAGATATACAACTTTATTTTCTAATTAAGATGATTAGTTTGTCAGTCTTTGTGACATTCCGAATTTCGGCCCATTTTTGGGATTTATAAAACGTGTAATTCGTCAGTGTGCTTATAGTAAAATCTCGCCCGGGAACTGATCACTCTCGGTTATTGTTTTTAAAATTGAGATTTCGCTAGAATCGCACTCGATCGAATTTGGCCGTTATTTAGAGCCCGAACTTTGGTGTCAAATTTCTCGGAGTTTCGTGACGAATTTAATTGGACGGTGTCGATATTATTGTGGCCAGCGTCAATATTGCCCGGGATATGCGAAAAGTGAAATTTTGACCGGGTGCGGATTTGGACAAGTAGACCTCCCTCGTAGTGTGTTTTAGTTATTATCTTTTGGCCTTTTTCCTAATTTATAATTAGGGTTTTTCGTGGGCCGTTGGATCGTTTTCGAAATTGAACGAGGATCGTCGGATCGCACTCAAGTGCGTTTGAGTTTCTCTCTCTCTCCTCTCCTCTCCTCCTCCCCCGTTGAACCCCACGCCGTTGCTGACCTTTCTGCTGACTCCCTCTACTGCTGTCTTCTTCCACCCACTCCCATGATGATCTTCACGTTGCTCCTGTTTTGTTGACTGATGACCCCACGTTTCTGTTCTACTTTGTTTGCTGTTTCTGCTGACTTCTTCACGTGCTGCTGACTGCTGACTTCTGTTTTTGCTTGCTGCCTGCTGACTTCCTCTCTTCCTTCACGCCCGCTGACTCCCTCACGTTGTTTCTGCTCTTGCTGATGACTTCTTGCTGCACCTTCACGTGTTGCTTTGCTGACTGTTGACCCATGCTGCTGCCCATGATGCTTCACGTGGCTGCTGCTTCCTTCTGCTGCCTTCTTCTTCCTTCTCTTCTTTTCTTTGCTGTTTTGTTGCTGCTGCTGCTTGCTTCTTCGGCTTCTGCTTCCTCTGGCTTTTGCTGCTTCCCATTCCAGCCGACCATACCAGCTGCTCGTCAACCACCACAGCCTCGCCTTCCCAGCCGCTGGAGACATGCCGGAGCCGTAGACCGCAGCTGCTGCTCCTCGCGCCAAACACCCCACCGAGACGCTTTCTTCCCCTTTTTCCCTCTCGCCATCACCACCACCCACAATCACCCTCACACCATCACCGACCACCTGAGCTGCCATCCGCTGTCCGCCCTCGCCGTTGCTTCGCCGGAGTAGCCGTTGCCGTGCCAAGGCTCTTGTTTGCTCCCTTGCTAGGTTGTCTTGCTTAGGCTCTCTTGTAAGTGGCTTCCTAACCCTTGACTAGGCTAAGGGGTGACTAATGGACATGTTAGGGATGGTTTAAGGGCTGTGGATAGTTGGTTTAGTGGCTGGTTGTGCTTGGTTTGCTTGGTGGTGCTTGTTGGTTAATTTCCGATAAGGTTGCTGCTGCGTCGCTGGATTTTTCTATTTTTACTGTGACTTGTGTGGGCCGAATTTGAGGAAGTGTTCCTCATGAAAGTTGTTCATAACATCTTGAAGTTTGACATATATTAAATCTGGAATTTTTGGAGATCATTTAGTTCCATTCGTAAGTCCATTTTTGGACCGGATTCAGTCTGCCGGATTTACTGTTCATCCGACCATCTGGTCTCTCCGATTTTCTACAAATTTTTCCAGACCTCTTTTCAACAAACTTCCTTCACAAAAATTGTTAAGAACATTTTTTTCTATGACATATAAAAATTTGAAGGCTTTCCAAAATGATTTGGGTACTGGATGAAATGCATTTTGATGGTCAGGCGGCCTGACCGAACGGGTTGAATTTTGTCTGACTTCAAGTGACAAAAAGAGATATTTACAGTAGGAACTGGGTTTTGAGTTCTTCACGGAAAATGTTTATCAAGATGTTTTATGCGACATATCCAAATTTCAGAATTTTTGGAGTTGATTTACTATTTATTTTAAATGAAATTCGGTGACTATGTTACTGCACAGTTTGGCTCCGATTCTGTGCATACTCGGTTTTTCTCTCTCTCGGGAACTGATCGGTGTTACCATGACATTTTGGTGGATTTAGTTGACATTGGGCTAATTTACAAAGATAAGAATTGGTAATGATTGTTGAGGTGTGTGCATGGTCACGACACGTTCCGTCTAGGCGGGAGTTCTAGACGATGCCCGGCGGGAGTTCGGATGCCGTCTAGGCGGGGGTTCTAGACGTTGCCGATCGCGGTAGAGGCCGGATCGATGCTCCTTTGTGGAATGCCGTCTGGGCGGGGGTTCCGGACGTTGCCGTCGCCGAAGTAGCGGGACGATGCCTGGTTACGCCAGAAGACCGGCGGGAGTTCGGTGGCCCGAGGGGTCGTTAATAATCTGGACTTAATGAGTGCGATTTGCATTGGGGAAATGCTTTGCCTGAGTTAATTGATGAGCACGTCTGGATTATTAACCATGTTATGCTTGATCATGCCATGAATTGCTTTGCGCGTGCTTGATGAGCAATTGGCCATGTTATGGCGATATTCTAACGTGCAGGGCTTGTGTATGTGCCGAGGCGAGGTAAGGGCGCCTGTGATTGTTATGACATGTTGGATGTCGGTATTGCACGTTTAGAATTGTTCAGAGGTACGCTTTGGCCTAAGCGAGGCTTAGGTAGTTGCTTATTGAGAAGTGTTCTCATGGTTGTATAACCAAACCATTTCAGACCCGCGACCGTGATTGATCCGGAGACGCTGCCAGAATACTACGGGGATTGAGGATAGGTCGAGTTAGCTCATCTTTTGAGTGCCCCTTTTTGTAGAGGAGTTAAGCTTACCAACCACCCGATCCTTGTTGTTGTGCGTGGTTCGTAGATAGTGGCCTCGTAGAAGGCTTGCAAATGTATGTGTTGTAATCGATGTTATGTTTATAAAAGTGTCTTGTTGATGTGTATTCTTTGTCTCTCTACTATCCCGTTGTTTATATGTTGTACGGAGAGTTCGAGGTTGCTTCTGCATGCGTTACTCGTTAGTATTTCGATTGGGTCGGCGACAAGTCCTGGGATGTCGCGTACATTACGACCACGAAGGGATGATCGCGCGCTCGTAGGGTTCGGGGCGTGACAGTCTTAATTAGTGAATGATTTCAGATTGTACTCTTTGATTGAACAGCTGTGTGATTGTTGAGGATGGGCACATTATTATGACAGGAAGAAACCGGACTAATGAGGCACAAAATGTATGGTTTATCATTGCTTCTCCACCCCCGTGTATAAATTTGGCCAACAGCACTTTGTTATTGTTCTAAATTGATATCCTTGAATTATCTACTCGTAGTTATTGTTGGTCATTATATATTTCTCCCATTACTATTTCTTTAATAGATGATTAAAGAATTATCAGAACAAATCTGTTAATAAGTGGAATTTTCCATGCATTATTAGGCTGTAAATGGTTTTGTTCCCATTATTCTTTCATAAAATATGATTACGGCTAACACTAGCAATAATCTGGCTTTATTGTGCACAATGTTTTACGTATTTCATTTACCATTGTGCTCTGTCTGGAACCATATTATGTTCTTTATCAGCTTTTGTGAAGTTCCTAACATTGTTTCCTTATACCATATGTTAGCTCAACTTCGGTATACTTATTTGGTATAAAATGAATTGTGAACATTGTATTGCCTTGAAAGATGTAAGAACCTGCTTCTTGGGCACATTTTTTTCGCACAATGGCCACATCTACACAAATAGTTTAAGCCTGGTTTTTGGTAGAGATAATCTCTTATCTAATAGTCTATTCCTAGAACCATTTATAGTTATGTGGTGACAAGACACTACTATAAATGACTTTGCAGACAGTAATAAATAGTTGATGTGAAAAATATTTGGCCCTTTTAGTATCTTGTGGAGCACAATGAAAAAACAAAGGCACCTTGCTATAGGGGTATATAAAAAATAATGTTAGAAAAGGTGGAGGTGGCCAATCCAATAAGAAGCCTCTTTTTCATGTGAGATTATCAGCAACTTCAAGTGAGCAAAACTTGTTGATATCATGTAGTATATGCCTTGATCAATCTTGTATATACTCAATCAGATAACTTGTCGGAGAAAACATTTCTTTTGAAATGCAATTCCTAAATATTTTTATGAAACTACACACTAAGAGCAACTTTCTCTCTGGCAAAGCTCCTAAGTTTGATATGCTTTCTTTATTTTTCACCTTGCACTTTCATAGGCAACAAGACATGCAGAGATGGACGTTCTTGATGTTCTTCTTGAACAGTGGCAGAGGACAGGATTTTCGGCTGCAGAAGTTGTAGAAAAGTTTTCAGCATGCTCCCTTTATGTGACATGTGAACCATGCATAATGTATGCAGCGGCATTATCGATCACTGGTACATCTGTTGATTATACTGGAATAAAACTAAACTTTCCTAAGATTTATTTGTTCATAAATGATTAGATGACTCTTAGCCACTTTTAGGTATAAAGGAAGTATAATCTGACTGTGCAAATGATAAATTTGGAGGCTGTGGATCAGTACTGTCATTGCATTCAAGTACCTCCGCCCCATGCATTAGGTCAGTTTCTGAACTTGCTTTTGTTACTGATTTTGTATCTACTTAGCTCCACTTTGAAATTGTGACCCATGACAATTGACAACTCAAGCTTACTGGAGGTTTATGATTCCTTATGTTGATTATTGATCGATGCAGTTTTGTATTGATTCTGTTTTCTGTAGCAACTTGAATATTGCAACACATAACCATGAAAATAGAAAAAGGTTTGTGGAACTAATTATTCATCTTTTCTGTCCTTTTCCTAGTCTAAATGGAAGAAAGTGGAGTTTCCTCAAGCGTCAAAAAGTCGAGTTTATATTAATTCTTTCTATCCTCGCTTGATTTCCTTTTTCTTAAATTCTTTGTGACTGGTTGAACATTTTTCTTTTTTTTTAATTTCCCCCGAAAAAATCTACAGTTCTGGGAAGTGCTACAAGTTAAGCTAACATTAGTTTGT